GTAGGCGGTCACGTCTGCGTTTTGGGTGAGGGAGACGGGGGTCTGTTCTGTGGTGTAGCCGAGGTAGAATTTGGCGCCGCCGCCGACGGTTTGTTGGGGGATTTCGGTGGCGATGGCGGTGTTGAAGATTGCTTTGCCTGTAGCAGGGTCGTGGTCTGTTATGAAGCGATGGGGGCGGCGGAGGTCGGTGGATGAGGTTTGGGATGCCATTGTTGGGGATATGTTTTTGTTCGATGTGGTTTATACGAGAGATGGAGGCTTTTGCGGTGTCCAGCTGTATATGTATGGTGTAGGTGTAGCCTTCTACTTTTCTCTCAAGAGGTGAAAGTATAAATAGTCTATGCGGAAGTCGAGGGGAGAGCTATGTGACGAAGAAAGTTGAGACGAGCAAGCTTTCAAGAAGAAGGGTGGGCGGTCTTCTACTCCCCTCGAAATAAAAGCAACCCATTGAGCTTACAAATGAAGGCTGCAAAGCATACTCTGTTACATACCGTCGATCATCCTTTTCCCCGCCATCCCACCCCCCTCTCCTCTCCTTGACCACCAGGTTTGAAAGTAGTTGCCTTGTCGGCATTCCGACGTCGTACGGATTGAGCTTTGCCAGCTTTCTCAACCGTCCGGAGCCGTGAGCGTGCGTGGGCGGAAAGTGGAGGTGGGGCCGGGACGTAGAGAGGAGGTGGGTTGTGCGGGGACGGGGTGTGGGAGGGCAGACAGCTACGGCGGACGCTATGAAACTGTAATTTCTTCACACGTGTTAGGTTTTGTACGGCTATGTATCTGAGGCAAAACAAGGCCACCAGAAAGCTGGGGTAACAGGTTTGTTCTCTGCACCATGATCTATGGGATGTTCATCGTTCATCGTCGACACCATCTCAAGTAAGGTTCCTATGCATCGTTGATCTGAGATCTTGGGTTCGGGCTCACGGGCGACTGTAAGAGCCGGTATATCTGGGAAAGCTTAGAGAAGACGGCGTGAAACAATTCAATCCCTGAAGATGAAAGGAAGTAGGACAGTGTATGAATTTCGGAAGCTGGGATGCGAAAAAACATGCCCATCGTCTCGTCTTCATCTGAGGGACTTCAGGCAAGTTATGGGTTTGGTTATCAAAGTACAATGTTGGGTATTCACCAGGCCTAAAGCCTGGATGCCACTATGAAAACAAATATACACAATGCCTCCATCATGAAAACCTTCGGATCTGATAATATGACAATCTCTTCCCCTTGCCCCTAGATCTCTAGAACCATCGCCCCTACTCTATCCTCCGAGCCGCAGAAACATTCGGCACGCCCGTTCCCTCGACAACTTTGGCGCCAACAACCTCATAGATGGGCATCTCAGCCAAGAACTTGGCAACATGATGCAGCGTCGGCAGCTTCTCCCAATCATGACCATCCATCTTGACCGTGACGTCCGCAGCAGACGCCCTAGACACGGCGTGTACCGTGGCGGGGACGTCTTTGGCCTCCTCCTCATGCGGCACCACGCACGCGTACTCGGCGTCGGCCTTGCCCGGCTGCCCGACCGAGGGGATATACCGGTACGTCAGAATCCCGTAGTCCGCCTCGCCGCCGATGGTGCCGTGCTCCGTCTCGGGCTCGTCGCGGCGCAGGTTCTTGAGCGAGATGTCGGCAAAGGTGGCGTCCCGCCATGAGGCGCGGACGCGCGCCGCCGTGGCGTGGTGCTCGAGATCGATATCGCAGAACAGCTTGGGCATGCCGAGCTCCTCGCGGCCGGAGACAATGGGGTCCGTCAGGGACTCGAACAAGACAGACAGGTGGGTGCCGTTGATGGCGGTGCCGTCGCGCTTAACGTACTCGATGCCGTGGATGTACAGGCCCAAGTGGTTGTAGCCGCCGCCGCCGAGCCAAGACATGTTGTTGAGCTGGGTGACGGAAAGGGAGACGGCGCAGACGGTGCCCGGTTCCTTGAAGCGGAACGATTCCGTGGGCAGGATGGTCTCGAGCAGCGTGCGCGACGTGAGGAACTTGACCGACATTGTCTTGAAGGTGCGCTCGAGCTCGGATGGCTGTCGGCGGCCGAAGAAGTCTTGCCGGGGACCCGGGAAGGGACCGAAGCCGATGGGCATGCGCCAGTACATGTCCTGCTTCTTGGACCAGAGGTACTTGTTGAAGATTTTCGTCGCGTGGTCGTGCTCGTCGTGGCCAAAGTTGTAGTTTGTGTAGTTCATCACTGTTTTCCGTCGTGTTAGTGGTCTATCCACAAGGGGGTGGTTGGAGCTTCACGAACTTTGGATGGCAGGTGGTTGACCTGGTATTCTGTCCTTGCCGGCTTGACGAGAGAACTCTTGAATCTTGTGTGCGCGCTCCATGCGGATCTTCTCGTACAGACGTAAGCGTTCAGGGACTTCGTCGGGAGATGTGCCCTTTGGTAGAACGACTGCCAACGCTGCTCCGTCTTCCATAGCCTGCCCTGCGCCTTGTCCCTGGTCTACGTTTCCGTTAACATATCGATTGGGAAGCTTGGTGGAACGAGACTTACGAGGTGTGAAGGGATGTGCGGCGTCTCCTAAAAGGGCGAGCTTGCCATTCACCCACGTTGGCATGGCCTCCATATCCAACAACTGCCAAACATTGACTTCATCGGGGTTGACCTTCTTAATAAGCTGCAACACAGCAGGATCGAAGTCCTTATAAACCTTGAGTAATTGTTCGATGGAGCCCTTCTTGTTCCATTCTATCGCTTCATTAGCTTTGTTGCTGTACGATGGGGCGTGTAAGGGACATACCATCGCTTGCGTTTGCTTGAGACTCGGTGTCCGGGTGAATGCAAACAAAGTTGAGGAGCTGGTTGTTGTTGCACGGGTAAATCACAATACGCCTGTCTGTTCCGAACCAAATCCCTAGTGAGTTCTCTCTGTCGACCAAAGGCGCAGTGACGGGGTCCTCAAGCGCGGCGGCGCGGGGGATGAGAAAGCGGAACGCCGCCTTGCCCGAGCGGAATAGCTTGTAGTCGGTGCCGGTCACAAACCTCCTGACCTTGGACTATATGAGATGTCAGTATCACCAGTTTTACTGTACCTCTACTACTTCTTTGACGTACGTAGATACCATCGGCACCAAGAATCACATCCGCCTGAACAGTCGTCCCATCTTCCAGCGACAACTCACCCTTTTCGGGGTCCGCGCCGACGACCTTGGACGCGACATGAAGCTTGGCCGGCGTGGTAACCCCTCCGTCCTCGGCCGTGGCGACGTTGCGAATCTCACTGTGAAGGTAGGCGCGGTGGACGAGCTGCCAGGGGTGTTGCCATTGGCCCTGAGACTTTGTAATGTCGACGTCGAAGCCGCCTTGGTTGTTCAGGTCTCTCTCCTTGAAGTGGTGCGAGGGGTTGGCGCCGAATGTCTCGGCGTAAATGCCCCATCTCCGCAGCAGACCGTTGGAGTTGGGGGCCAGGTGTACGGCGGCACCAGTCTCGTTGGCGAGTCTCGACTGCTCGTAAAGCTACGGTTGAAAGCGTGAGTACGATGGGCAGCACGAATGGGGCGAGTATGATGAGGCTACGAGGGGTGGGGGTTTCCTACGTCAACTTGGTGACCTTGCCGGCGCAGTGCGATTGCTGTGCTTAAACCGCCAATGCCGGCGCCTACAATGGCAATCTTGAGTGGCCGGGGATATTCGTGGACCATGGGACTCGAGTACACGCCATTAGGGCGCTGAGCCTCTCCGTTGACCAACATGGTGCCAAAATCAACGTGTGCAGAGGGAAAAGAGGGTGCGTTGCTCTGTGGTCAGGTTGTGAAACAAAGACCTTTGCTTGACTCTCGCATTTATTTGTGGATGAGGAAATCGTTTAGAAACGTCAGAGCTGCGAGTAATGCGAGTTGGAAAGTGTGTGTGTGTGAGAGAGAGAGAGCACGAGGCACCGAGATGTGAAGGGGAGAAAAAAGGGCCAAAACCATCTGTTATGAGTAAAAGAGGCGAGATATAACCGATACTTGACGGGGGAACAAATAACACCGTAAGACTTACACTCCCGTCATCTCAAACGCTTCCCGCCCCGGACTTCGACGCTACGCCACCGCGTCGATCGTCGGTCTGCTGGGCTTCGACAGCTCGGCCCCTCCCTCCCTTGTCTCCATTGCAACCACCATCAAGACTGCCAACGCAACCCCGGACTTTTTGCAATCGCCGAGCTTTCACAGGGCGGGAAATTGGGAGCCTAGTGTACTGTAGGCCATCGTGCCTCTCTTCCTCATCAAGAAGAGCCATGCCGAAAGAAGGTGACCACTGACTGGGCGAATTGCTCCTCCCCATCAATCCTCCCCCGCATTTTCTACCGGCGGGCGGAAGACCGGAACCATGGCGGGGGAGGGGACATGGTATACGCGGGACGTCGTTTAGCCTCATCATCCATACTATGTGATCACCTAGTCACCCTGGTCCTCACAAGCCCATATGCCATGAGAGAGACAGAGAATTTCCTTCCCGAACAACTCTTTTGAAAGTACTTGGAACTAATCAACAGCTGAGCTCACGCACAAGGTCTCAGCGGTATGCCAGCTTCGAGCTATTCCCCTCCTCCCACTCTCAGGATCTTGCAAGGGAAGGTGTCAGCCGTCGTTATTCAAAGGTTGCAATAAACATTTTCAACGTTGAACTGGAAACCGAATGGTTAGTCGTACAGACAGACTTTCTCGGTAAGGATGTGTCGGGGAGTGTTTCCGGTCAAGGAGGGGGGGAAGCGAGCAAAAGATCGGCTCAGGTGGGGGTGGGTCCGTTGGCTTTCTTCTTGCTGCTGCTGCTGCGAATTGCGGTTTACCACAACTTCCTACACTAATATGTTTGCCATCGAGGCAATACATCGAAGTGACATTGAGTCAAAGTCATAGCATAGTTGCCTGTGTAACTGGTGCATCTACCGCATATAGTATCGGCCGGACCTTTGTGTGTTCCAGGTCCAGTGCCATTTCTGAACCAATGGACCAATTCCCACTTGTCCATCGCACTCTGTAGCTGCTTGTGTTACGAACACGGCAAAACATAGGATGAAGTTGAACTCAACTCATTGGCCATATCAATCTGACTAAAAAATCATCCCAGGCCTCACCTTGTTCATATTCATCCCATCGGATCTCGTCCACGATAAACGGAACTCCAACATCAGAAACCTACTGCTCGCGCGAACCCACATGGAACCCTCGGCACCCGCGTAAGGCACTCTCCCGTAAGGTAGGTAATTATTACCCCGCCCTTTCTTCGGCTCCTTGGTGTGCAGTGCCGGCCCCAATCTGGTCCCGACCTTACCCCGCCCCGACACCGGAATTCCGATACAAAGCTCCGGAGTTCCTTACAACACAAAGCTCATCGGGACCGAACAAGGCCGCTCTCACTGGCACACTCACACCGCACTCATCACCCCTTACTTTGGCCGATCGAAAAACATCCAACAGGCACAGGAGGGAAAAGAAAGGAAAAGGAAAAGAGAACCCTCTCAGAAACTATGTCTCCAATCCCAACCGCCCTCATCACAGCAGGCAGCGCAGGCCTCGGCGCCGCAACAGCCAAACTGTTCGCCCGGAACGGCTACAGCGTCGTCATAAACTACGCGAACAACAGCGACCGCGCAGAAGCTCTGGTGAAGGAGCTCGAGTCCCTCTCATCCGCCTCCACCTCCTCTTCTTCCACAGAAGGAAGCCAAAGGCAGCACTTCCACGCCATCAAAGCAGACCTCTCCTCCCGCACCGAAACCTCCGCCCTCGTCAAAAGCGCAGCCGACGCCCTCGGCGGCCGCCTCGACGTCCTCTTCTCCAACGGCGGCTGGACAAGGCTCCGCAACATCGCGGACCTCGACGACAACGTCGACGAGGACGACTGGGACCGCTGCTTCAACATGAATGTGAAATCGCACCTGTTCCTCATGCACGCCGCGCGGCCGTACCTCGACGAGGCCGAGGGCGCGTTCATCACGACGGCGTCGCTGGCCGGTGTTAAAGTCAGCGGGAGTTCACTGGTACTTTTTGTCTCATTTCCATCAACCCCACCCGCCCTATATTTGCCTTCCTTCTGCCCAATATTGTATGGGCTCAGCAAGCAAGCAAGGCAAGGAAAGGCAAACTCTCTGATACGACGTGCAAAAACAATGTAGGCCTACGCCGTGACGAAAGCAGCCCAGATCCACCTCGTAAAAGGCCTCGCATTAGCAGCGGGCCCGAGAATAAGAGTAAACAGCGTCTCTCCGGGCCTCATGTTGACGGTATGTTACACAATCCGCCCCCTTCCCGTCCCTTCCCCGTTACCCTGCCCTCGTACTATCTCTGCCCCTGGTCTGCACCATCCCAACGATATCTATATCACGGCAAGACATATCCGTACAAGACACACTGAGCTCACTGCATATGCGTCTCGTTCCGCGTAATACAGGAATGGGGCCTCCAGTTCCCGCAAGAGAAACAACAGGCCGCCCGGGACAGGACGCCGCTCAAGCGCCTCGCCACGGTCGACGACGTGGCCGACCAGGTGCTGTGCTTCGCCAGGAGCAGGAGCGTCACCGGCGCTAACGCCGTCATTGACGGGGGGCTCAGTATTTGAGAGAGCTAGCAAGAAGGGGTTCACGGCGTACGGTCCACGGATATCTGGACGGAGTATGGATGCCTCTTTAAGAGAAGACGAGGTCACGAGGGAGAGAAGAAGAGGTCACAGAGAGAGAGACAGAGAGAGAGAGAGAGAGCCTAGCACATACGGATACATGGGTAAGGATAGCCCACACCCGCCGCCTGTGAAAGCCAGCCACGCAACAACTACCTAGGAACGATGATAAACTTTTACTCATCATTGACTCAGGGTCCAAAAGGGCAGACAAAACCAAACCCTTGGCTAGGCAGGCTGCCAGAATTACTCCGAACATAGCAGAGGTGAGCAGGTTATTTCCAAGGAAAAACACAAGAACACTAGAAAAAGTGATCAAAAATCTGTATGAAATGGCCTGTTCAAGGGGTCCAGGAACGGGGCTGTTGCGAGCTGCCCAGAGCTGAGATTGGGTGAGAAGACGTCGTTAATCCGTCCACGGTCTTGCCCCCCCACCCCGCTGCCTGGCACTGGTGTCGGAAAGGGGGTCCTCCCACTCCCACATCCCGAAGGACCAAGGTGGGCTGGGCACGCCCTGGGCTTGCGTATTGGCGCAACGAATGGGGGGAGGCCAAAGCAAGACCAGGAGGAATCAGAAAAGACGAGAAGGAAAAGGAAACCTTAAAGCTTGTAAAACCACTGGCCCTTCCTCTTATTTTGCTGTGCTCTTCTTTTCTCGTCATAACATAAAAACTCAATTCTTATAAGTACCGAAACGCCTTGCTATACGTGTGCTGCCGGGAAGGTATCGGTGTGGGATGGGTACAAGAAAACTACAACTTCATCCGGTCTCTTTCCTTTCTCTCTTTCACTCTCTTTTCATCTTTTCTTATTCCCCTACCTCCCTGTCTTCGTTCCAATGGATATACCGGATGATCGGCCACTTCCACGACTCGTGTCGTATCGCCTTGCCCCAGACGAATAACGGCACCCACAGGACCAAGACGGCAGATGCGATGCCCGCCATGGCCCCAAAGGCATTGTCGTACCCTGCCTTTTCGACCCAGGTATTGGTGTAGAAGGACAACAGGAAGCCAAAGAGTGCTGCAGCAACAAGGACCAAAAGTCAGCTTTCCACATGCTGGACGAATACGAATGCTGGGACAAAGAAGGGATGCCAAGAGAGGGACGCCCACTTACACTTGAAGCCCATGACAGCCAGGGTGATCTCGCCGGCGACGGGCCGGTAGGCATCAATCACGTACACGAGGCAGATATTCGTTCCTTGGGAGATGGAAAAGGTAACTGTAGATGGGATGATCAGAAACACCGTCGTTTCGACAAAAGAGCTTGGATGGGTGGGACGGGGGTAGGAGAGGAGGGGAGAGAGGGGAGGAAGGCAACTTACGAAGTCCAAGACCGATGGTGGGACAGACCCAGTGCAGCTGGCTGTCGATGCCGACACCGTAGAGGACGAGAGCCAACGGCGTCGTGACCATACTGATGGCCATGCCAGGCAGTCGCATCTCCGGATCCCGCATCCCGCCGTTTCGTCTCGTAAACCAATCCGCAATCATGTCGCCAAAATGCCCGCCCGCCGGGATACCTAGCAACGCACCGAGGATGCCGGCAATGAAGCAGAGGCCAATCTGCCACGAATCGAATCCGTACGCGGTGTAGAAGGCGGAACCGGCGTTGGAAGACACAGCAACGAGGAAACCGACCGTCACGGCCTGCACCAGCGCCGCCCAGAGGACCGGCGGCAAGAGAATCAAGCCCAGGGGCCGCAGCGCGAGCTTCAGGAGGCTCTCCTGCGTCAGCGTCTTGTTGAAGATTTTCAGCGAAGAAAGGTATGATTGCTTTGAGCGTCTCGTCGTCGTCGTAGTCGAAGCTCCAAGCGGACGAGCGGGCAGCTCGCCCTCCGACCTCATCGACCCGGGTTTGCTCCCGTCTATCGAACCCAGGCGATTCCAGGCGCTCGCTTCATCTCTCTCGTAGGCGGTCTCGGGGAAGGTGAAGAATGCCAGCAGGAGCACAACCCCGACCAAAGCGGCAGAAACTTGATAGATGACTCTCCAGTCATGGTTGATGGTGATGAGACTGCCAGAACACACCACGGTTAGAAAGATTTTCCGCCACGCTCTGGGACGCTTTTCTTATCACTTACCCTGAAATAACCACACCAAAGCCGACGCCCGCGGAGAGAAACGCGGTATAGAGTCTGTATCACTGACGTTAGCGATCTGCCAGCCTGCGTGTCTGCTGGAACAAGCACTCACGCCATGATGGTTCCTCTTTCGTGCAGAAAGAAGACGTCAGCAATGGAAATAGGCGCAATCGTCTCGGCGGCTCCAGCGCCAAATCCCATCAGGATCCGGCCGGCCAAGAAGCCACCGTACGAGTGATCAAAGATGAGCCATATCGTGCATGCAAAGTAGATGGAGTAGCTCGCAACGTAGACTGGTCGCCGGCCAAACTTGTTGGCGAGCGGCACCCAGAAGAAGTTGCCCACCCCTTGGAGCAGGGCGGTCGTCGTGAAGAAGTAGGCAGTCCTGGCAATCGCGAGACTGAGGACATCAGTATCGGTCGCAGCCGCGGGGAAGAACTCCAAGGCTGTATCCAGCAACGCGATCGACGGTCCTGCAGTGGCATCCGTTAGCCAGCCATCTTCTAGGGTACTCTGGAGACGATGGACTCGACATACCCGCTGCCAGAAAGTTACACATCATCATGGCGAAGCAGATCAACCCCGCCATGTAGTACTTGTACCATTGTGGCCTGAGCGAGTCAGCTGAAAATCCCTGGCTTCTTTGACGATCTAGGTCGCCAGCCTAGTGCCTACCAGTTTAAGGGGTCGTTTGGATCTGCTGATGGCGTCGGGATCAATATGATCTCGTTGGTCTCTGGATGCCTTAAACGAACGTTTCCCAACGTCCTCGCCCGCGTTGTTTCCTCCGCTATATGTATTGTGTTGCTGTCCATTACTGGATTTGTGTCGAGAGTCTCCCGTGTTCTGACGATTCTGACGATGCAGTTTGTCTGCCCTCGGCTCGGGATCTCTGGAAGGTTATGGGGCCCTTTCTCCAGAGGGAGTCTCCTAGAGAAGTCACGGCGCACTTTTTGCAAGCCGGGTGAACGGAGTCGTCTGGAATTCCGTTCCAAGAAATCGGGGAGTAGTGAGAAGCGGCTACTCCCCCTGCTTGAAAAAGACGAGCCCGATCGATGAAACGGTCGAGTCCAGGCGTATCTGCCGCGTCGATCGTTCGACGTGGTTGCATCAAAAGGGAGGTATAGGCGGGCGTGGACGTGGTTCACTGCTACTACTACCTAGCACTTTGCAGAGAGAAGAGAGACGGCAGAAAGTTTAAGCTTTGCTGTCTCGGTAGCCCGTCATTGATTGGATTCTGTGGGGAAACATGGGGCTTCTTTTTCAACAATGCCAAACACAAATGATTCGTCGGTATGATCTGTGAGAAGTTGAAAAAGAAGAGATGACCAGTAGAGAGTCGCCGCAGACGAGGAACAAAGAACAATAGCGGGGGAACAGCAACTCGCGAACAAGTTTGAAAGGTGACCGATGCAAAGCCTGGACCTGACGTCGCAGCTCTCTCGAGAACGACAACAGCTACCTTCCTGTAGTCTGTGTGTTCGGATACACTAACTCTTCCCTGGTGATACCTTGGAGAGGCCGACGCGTGGAGTCGCAGTGGTGGTGCGTGAGGGCCGCCAGGAACACTGGATGGCACATCCCAAAAGCCAGAGGACGGACGGGGATAGGCGACGGGCCTAAGCAGGAGATTATCAGGCCTCAACCCTGCTCACCGAATTTGAGCACTAGGGTAAATGAGGACAGACTTGGCAACGCAAAGGAATGGGAACAGACAAGGATTTAGCCGCAGCGGCCACTGTCTTATCCGCGACTAAGGGGTATTCGATTTCAAGGGGCCAAGTTCCACCAACAAGCCTTTTGCCAAGCCTTTGGACATGGGCGACCGAAACATGACCAGAGGAAAACCAATTGGTGGGTTCTAGCAGGAACGCTAGTGAAGGAGCCAACGAGGGAGTGAGAAAAAGGGACAGATGACAGATGCGACAACCTCCGAGATGAGACGTACGCAAGTGTCCGTCTTTGCATACTTTGTTCACACGGAGTCTGACGGAGAAGAGAAGAGAGACGGAGACAAGGCGACAAGCAAGCAAGCAGGGAAGACCTCGAAAGTCGAGACATGTTCGTCCTGCGCGCTTGCGAACAGACGTCAGACACCAAAAGTGCTGATGCTGGTGCTGGTGCTTGGTGATGATGATGATGATGATGATGAAGAAGATGCTGATCATCTTGACTGGGAATCATGGACTACATGGAAGTCTATAATGCAGTCCAGCCGAGTTCCGCCCCGCCCGCGCCCGCCACCATCGCACGCGTAAGATCAGTTGTTAAAGGTTTCCCGTCCTTGAACAGGTCCAAGCCTTGCTGGAAAGAGCCTCAAAGAGAGAAGAATTTGTGCCGCATGAACTAAGCATAGGACCCAAAGTGCCGTTTTCGGCCATCAGCTCCGGGTCATGATCCACGGTGTGCCAGTCTTACGTGGTGAGAAGGTGTGGCTGGTGCTTAATATGGGGTTGAAAAAGTCAAAAAGAGGTAGTAGTCGGCTAGTGTGCCAGAGCCGGCGGAGAGACCCTGGCATGCCGCATGTCTCGTCTAGGAGACGCGCAACGCGCTCCCCACGCAATATCTGTGAAGGGATATGTTGCCGTGGACACTAGACAACCGTCAGTAAACACTCCATAGTAATGCTTCTCGACTGTGGAGGCCGGGCAAAAGAAAAGACTCTGGAGGCCGCTCATGTGGTTCTTGACGGATCCCGCCAGCCTCGCTTGCGGGCAGTGCACTGCATATGCATCCACGACGCTCGGAGAGTGCCGTTCCTGGAATGTGTCAACGACATGCAGAGCCGTTATCTCTTCGTTCGTGGGCCGAGGTCGACAAGACAGGCTTGGATGATGTTAGAGTCACAGACTCCAGAGATGTCGGATGTGAGGGCCGAGGCGGGTAGGCGAGGGTTGACCATTTGAGCGGTATACAACTATGGACCTCAGAGGAGTGGACTTGCACGCGCCAGTCGCTCCGAGATGCCTCATTCTTCTCTTCCTCCACACGGCTCTTGTGTATGGCCAGGCGATGGACCAATTTCATGGGCTCGTATTCTGGTGATTAGAGTAAGGAGTGTTTCAACATGACGTTTCTCCCATCTGACTTACAACAAATAGAGTAAGGGCATGGGCATCGTCGGTTGAAGTTTACCATGTTTCCATCTTTGGACCCTGGTTGTTGGCGCCGACGGGTTAAAAGTTGAAACAACGTGAACTCGTCATGGCCCTATAGGTGATGGAGCAATGTGAATAAGGACGCGTTTGCTTCTGTTCAGCTTGCCCCAGATGCCCCGTCAGGTAAGGCAGAATTCAAGCTTCATGCCACGGGTCCATCGACGGTCAAGATATTAGGGTTGCCGGGATATGTTTGACGAGGCTTAAAGGGAGGGGAGGGGCAGGCAGGCTTTCGTCATCCTACGACTGGCAGGCGGCAGAAGCAGCAAACACACCAGACACGGCGGGCTGTCATCTGAAGTTGAGAGTGTCTGGAGTAGTGCGCGCCAATGAGTGGACGAGTTGATGATAGTCGAGACCAAGAGCAGAAGAAGAAGTGTGGTCAAATTCCGCCCGCAGTGTTGGCGCAAGTGGAGGAGACGACGTGGAATCAGAGATGCAGCAATCAGATGCAGGGTGAGGGAGGATGGTGTGGGGCCTCTCCGCCGACAGGAGTACGTTCCTTCCTCACCACCTTATGTACTGCGCAAGGTACCTAAGGAAAGCAGCTTCTAAGAGTGCGCTAGTGAGTGTACGTACTCAAGCCACTAGCATGGAGATGGTATACATGGCCTTACTAAGGTTCAGTTAGCGCAGATAAGTACCGCGGCGCTAAAGACCCTAAGGTAGCGTACAAACGAACAGGAAGGCAGGGCACCTTGGACTTGTGTCTAGTGCCACGACCCAAGATGATTTTGAGCGACGTGCTTTGGGATGAGGTATTGCGTGGTGCGTAATTGCTATGGTGAAGGGTTCCATTATCAAAATTACTGGGGGAAATCTATCAATAGAGGATGAGTGAGCTCTCCACCCCTGAGCGGGTCTCCATCGGGGAGAACCATGGCACCAAGCCTCTTCGGGACAACCGGGCAGGCTCAGGGATGGCACGGATATTAGGGCCTACGTAACGCTCTTGTTCAATCCCGTGCCGATGTTTTCTACGCAGCACTTGCACACACATCTGCAGCTGTGCAGCGCAGCGCAGCACCTCACTGCAGAGTGCTCCTTAGTACCTAAGGTACCCTGTCCATCAGATGAATCAAACAAAACGGAAGGCAGGTGATTCAGTGACTTCCTTCCATCCCTTCTATTGTGCATCCCATTCCCATGAGGTGCCTTCCATATTGCAATGGTCCAATCAACATCTTTGGGTACCTAATCTTCTGATAACGTCCAGAGTCCAGACGTCTTGTTCTTGGGGAGACATGCCATCTGCATCCCGTCTGCATCTTCTGTTTTCATCAACCGCCGGAATCCCACCTGAGGCACGGAGTACTCAACATGTCTCTTCCCTCCACTTGGCACCGGACTCTGGACTCTGGACGACTGACGAGCATCACCCTGTCACCTGTGCCTCTCTGAACTCCGCGTCTGGAGTCCCATGGAAGTCTGGTTACTGGTCACTGATGTTTTCTCAAGGGGAACTGCTGGGGCCGCTACGGGGATCCCTGGGCCGCCTAGTCCTCGATGACTACGGAGTACTTTGTGTGCTACAGTTTCCGCCCATCGCGTGCAGAACATTTCCAACTTTCCAAGTAGCCAAGTACCTCGACTACCTAGAACATCAACAAGAACAAAAAGGTATATGTACCTTGTCTACGGATACTAACCGCTGTCGCAGCATCGTCTTGCGCCAGCTCCTGCGCCTGGCAAGTCATTATCCATCCCATCACGCTGCACCAAGCTGCATAGATGCAGGGCTTTGCTTCTCCGTCCACGGCGAGCGGAGAGGAAGTTTCCGCCGCTCGATTCCTCACTCCACTCGTCAATTTGCTTTTCCCGGTCAAGACGCATCCTCATGGAGACTTGCGATCTCATCCTGTGCAGCGGTGAATCCGGTCCATCCCGTCAAGTCAGTTGTCACTGTGAATAGGCAAAAAGACCACCGCAGTCTTGCCTGGCCAAGCCGGCAAGGCATTTCGTCACGTTCGTCGCGAGTCATAATGAACGAGGTCAATTGACTTTCTGTCCAGTGTTTGAGCCGACCCGATCGGCAGCGCAAATCGATGACTCGCCCCTACCAAGATCTTGGACATCGATTGCCTTTGAGGGAAAAAAGAAAGAAAGAAAAAATAGGGACAGCCGGAGTGCTCCGAATAAGGCCGCCCACGAGGTCCAGAGATGGATAAAGAGACCAGGACTGGAAATGGCAATACAGCATACGGATATCATGCCCTCTGCCCGTCTCAAACCAATTCGCATCGGGACTTTGGTCAACGGGGGTCGTGGCCAGCATTGGCAACATGTCCATCAACTGTTTCGAGCGACTGCCAGGATGTCCGATTGCTTCCATATGAATGGCTCCATCTGCTTACCTACGTTATCCACTAGACGGGCTGACTTTGTCGGCTCGGGATCTTTCTCTGGAGAGACGCGTGCGCGTGCGGGACAGACATGCTGGCCCACAATTACATACATACACCAAGAAGCCTCGCCCTCTTCAACAACGGAGTATTGTGAAGCATCGGCTAGCATCGTCTGATGATGTTGCCCGTTATTCTCAGCCTCAGACTGCTTCATCATGGGCTTTAGGTGGTGTATGTATCCGTATGTGTGTGTCCTGGATACTCCAGGTTTATCCATCCGACTTATTGCGATGCCATCTGCCGGCTGATGTTGTCGTCGATGCCAGAGACCAAAGCAGAACACAACAGGACAGGGGGAGCTTCTTCGGATCTCTTAAGGCATGGTCACAACACTTGTTGAACACGCACACGCACACATACCGGTACTCATGCAACGGCCCGGATACTACAATAGTCTAGTCGAGGTCAGGCCGGACTCTTGTTTTACAGCAGCTACACCTCTGAGTCTCTGAATGATCATTGGCAGCATCAGCTCAAGACACCTTCTTACTCGGTAGCTAGCACCTACCGTCTTCGCGGAAAAGCCGCGACGTCGTCGTCTCAGTGCTCGGCCGTCAATGGACCCTTGCGCGTCGCCTCGGCCGGGATCTAGGTCTGGGTCTCATTCTCCAGTCGCCCTGCATAACTCCAGACCTGGTCGTTCCACCAAATGCAACCAACGCCCGAGTTTTGGGTTTCGAAGCTCTGGCAGTTCGAGCCTTTCCCCTTTGAGGTCCAGCGCCGGCCAGAGGATGACGAGGCCACCCCCGATCGCTGTCTTTGGTTCCTCTAGGGCGGCCCTCGCATTAGACGTGTTTGGCCCGTCAAGCCAATATACTCATCACCAGCGGCCGACGTACTACAATGTGGCGTTGAAATAATACCACGAATAGTACCGTGATTGAACTGACGCGGCACCTTACCACGTCCACCAGGTCCATGAGGTCTCCAGGTTGGTCTTCTTTTTTCGTCCCGCTTGAGAACCGCAGCTGGTACGAAGTTACGAACGGAGTGCACCGTACCCTACGGAGTACCTACTCTCCTGCATAGCGCCGCCCCCAACATCCACGGCCACAGCTTCCCATTCACGTCTGCGTGCTCAATGCGCCTCACAGACGCTCCAGCAACTGGGCTTTTACGGATACAACCAGGCTTATTTCGACGGACAAGTACCTACCCTACCTCACCCTACTTGTACCTACCTTACGAGTACGTACCTTGTCTTTTTTAGAGGAGCCGTCCCGCTCACAGCCTGAGTGAGCAGCAGCAGCTTCCATGTCCCACAGTTCACAGTCCACCGTCCACCAGGCTATTCTTTCCCCTTGCCCCAAGGGCCAACCCAACCTTGTCTCCATTACCTCACATGAAGGTACCTCTACCGCTATCTATACGCGTTCCTGTACCTTACATGACCTTGCTTTTACTTTAGTTTGACTTGGGCCTTGGCTTGGCTACGATTAACTACCACTACCTTACTTGTGCTTGTTCTACTACTACTACGGCTTCTCCCCGAGCTCAACTTAAGTCTCAACTTACCTCAAGTCAAATCAAGACTCTCGGCAACAAGACAAGTCAGGTTTAAGCTAAAGTCCTCAACGTTCCCAAGAAAAGACGACACAAGTTCTTGGCTGCAGCCGCATGCTTTCGCTCTAACTTAAGTTATTATTTGGCTTGCACCCACACTGGCCACCAGCACCAGCACCAGCACCAGCACCAGCACACTCGAAGCACCAGACAGCACCACAACGTACCGCACCAAAGCTCTCAACCTAAGCAAGCCTTCTGCACCTGGTCCGCCGCCCTTGGCTCATATTTCCTTTTTATCTCCCTCTCCCGACAACCTCCCACATCGGATCTATCCTTCCTGAGGCCAGGTTTGCAAAACTTTTTTGCCTTCACAACATTCTTTTTCCCCCTACCTTCCGTCCAGCTTGCCGACACAGCCGTCGCGCGCTGCCGATAGCAGCCAACCATCTTCTTCCGACCGCTTACGGTTTACCACCGCTCCGTCCGGCGCCGTTGGCCTTTTCACGGCCGATTGCCGGACCCGCCCCGACCTTCACTAACACAACACCATGATGGACGGTGGTCACCACAACATGATGCCAACCCGGGGCGTTGGTACCGATGACCAGCGGGTTTCTGCTTCCAACAGTAACACCAACCCCCTCGCCTCCGGTCCTTCTCCGAATGCCACAATAGTCGTCTCGGCGGCACCTTCATACAACCCCAATGGTCCCTCACAATCCGTCTCTCCTTCACCTGTGCCAACAGCTCAATCTCCCTATCCCACATCCACACCGGGCGGCACCCAGAGCCACGCCGCTACCGCCAGTCTGTACCAGTGTGCTCACTGCCAACGGCGGTATTCTCGACCTGAGCACCTCGCCCGTCACATCCAGACGCATACTCTTGGAAAGCGATTCGCGTGTCAGATATGCGGCAAAGCCTTTGCGCGCCAAGATCTCCTCAAGCGGCATGTCACCAATCACGAGAACGACAATGACCCCAACAAAAAGAGACGTCGCACCGATACTTCACCCGGTGCTGGCCGTGTCTCTCACGCCTGCAGACCTTGTGCTACGGCTCGCGTTAAGTGCGAGGAGCAAAAGCCATGCACCCGTTGTCGGAATCGCAACCTAAACTGCGAGTACTCGTCTACTGAAGCCGGCTCAGCTGCGGCCATGCATCTGCTCCATCTCTCGGGAAACCCGCACCAGACAACATCAACGCCCGGGTCTCTTGCCACATCTCCTTCACAATCTGCCTATGACAGCAGCCCCTCAACCGCCTACCAACAGAACCCTCAACATGCAATGCTGCCGCCCAGAGACGACAGTGGCCAGCTGGGGCCTGCTCATACCATCAAGTCGGAATCAGGCCGCATACCAACAACAGAAAATGCCATGCAACAAGTCAACGCCTCCGGCATGCCTGTCAACTACGAAATCGGAAACCAGCAAGGTGTCGACATGACCTTGCCTTTCTCAGACTTTCTCCAAAATGTCATCTACACAGGGGAGATGGAAGCATCGCGCATGGCGGAGGCACAGGGTCTAGCTGTCCTGGACTTTTGCGACAACTCGAATCTCGAACTGAACGAAGTGGACTTTGGCCTTCTGGATCATTGGAACATGGACGGCATGGGAAACACCGGATCCAACCAAAGCTTCACGCCTCGGACCGACGACTCCATCGACTTGGTCCAAATGCGTCAAACGCTTGTCAAGGTCTGGACAGAATCACCGTGGCAATGGGCGCCCAACAAGCTCGACTCAGGCTACTTGGAGCACCCAAACTTCTCCGTACCGTCCGACGACACAAGCAGCGCTGTTTTCACCGAAAGCCGGAAGAAGCACGCGAGGATCGTCAGGGACAAGCTGGACCAGTCGGGCCGGGACCAGATCTTGGCAATCGTCTTGTCAACCTGCAAGAACGACAGCATCATGAGCCGCGTCGCATCCTCTTTTCCGTCCCTTGAGGTGATGGACAGCCTTATCCACATCTACCTGGCGCAACATTTCTGCCAGACGTCACAATGGATTCACCACGGCTCGTTCTCCATGAACGCCCAGTGGCCAGAATGGCTAGCTGTGGCAGCTTCAGCTGGGGCTACCCTCACTCCGGTGCAGACCTTGCGCAAGTTTGGGTTTGCTCTTCAGGAAGCGGTCCGAGTTACCATCCCGGCAAGGTTTGAGGATGCCAACACTACGATCAAAAATCTCGGCCTTGTGCAGACTCTGATCCTGGGCCAAGACATTGGTCTGTGGAGCGGGAACCGACGCAAGATGGAGATCGCCGAATGTCATCTCATGATTCCTATTACGGTAAGTAGCTATTTTCAGCTGTCCGTCTCCCACAGCCTGGTTGCTAATGCTTTGCATAGATGATGAGATATCGCGGCAAATTCCAGCGAGCATCGTACCCCATGGTCGAGGTCAATATGTCGGACGAAGGCGAAGTTTTGGAGAAAAAATGGAGGGCCTGGTGCGAGCGTGAGTCGTGGAAGAGGTAAGCTTATAGACCCAAAGGTCCGGGATACCCTTGTGCTAACGCATTTAGACTACTTTTCCACTGCTTCGTGCGAGACGCTCAGACCTCCATGACAACACTTACCAACCCCTCCATGTCGTACTCGGAACTCACCCTGCCCCTCCCTGAAGCAAAGGAGCTGTGGTTTGCAAAGACAGCGGCCGAATGGAAGATGCACTATCTCGAACGAACAAACGGACAGAGCAAACGACCACCTTCGATCGGTGATCTCTTCCGGGACATCAGCCTGTTGGCGACGAACCGCCAGCGATTGGATTTGCAATTTGCAATCTCGATATACCTGCATGGCTACTGGGCGCTCATTCTCGAGTATCTCCAGCTGTGTTCCGTCTTGCGCACCCGGACTTGGCTGAACAACTCTGGAGGGAAGTCTGAGGAGGTACTACGTTCCAGACATGCAGAGCTGTGCAAAGACCTGCAGAGCTTCTTGCTGGTCACTTCCGACTGGCACGAGATGCTATCGACGCAGGAGAGTCTGGTGCTCCATCTTCTCATGATGAACCTGCATCTCTCCCTTAATGATTTACAACTCTTCTCTGGCAAGGAAGGCGAGGACCAGGCGCGCCGGGTATTCGGTGACCTGCGCGAGTGGTCGCAGAGCGCCGAGGCGCGCCAGTCGCTGTGGCACGCAGGCCAGATCCTGCGTCAGGCCAAGATGTTCCCCCAGGGCCATCTCAAAGACTTTTACGCCATCGCCGTCCACCATGCGGCTCTGGCGTGCTGGACCTACGGGGTGGTCTCCAAGACGAGCGGCACGGGGAAGACGCCGGTGCAAGGGTTCGACCAGGAAAAGGTGTTTCTGGACGGCACCGAGTCGAACCTGGTGCACCGATTCATTGGCTTCAACCAGGGGCGGCCGGTGATCCTAGGACCCATGAGCAGGGCCGGCGCCACCGAGGCGTCGCTCGACGATCCCAAGGCGTGCATGGAAGTGGCCCAGGAAGTGCTCCGGGCCAACTTTCGCGAGTCGGCGGATCTTCACCCGCCCATTGTCGAGAATTTGTGCCTGCTGATCAAGCAGCTAGGCCATGCTGCTTGGGCAGTCGGCATGTCATGATGATTTGTTGTTGTTATTTATCACGAGCCATATTTTGACATTTTTTTTCACCAAGTTTTTTTTTTTTTACCTTCACGAAGAGGCGTCTAGAGGTAAACGGCGGTCGGTTGTATACCCATGTATCAAAAAAGTTACCTGTCTGCGGCTTCTTTCCAAAGAAGGTGTCTTGCGCTCAAAGCCAAGGTTCTTGGAATCGCATCAATCTATATTGCCTACAATACCAAAGATGTCTAGCCATGCGCTAGGCGAATTACCTATTATCGTCCCTTCTCATTTATGGTGTATTCGGTTGCCACCCGGACTAGAACATGGGCAATTTAAGCTCAACACTAGGAGCTCAACTTTGGACGACTAACGCAGGCCCCTAGAACAGACGGACGTTCCCTTTCCGACACGGTGGCCTTGAAACTCCTCTTCTCCCCATCGGACTAGCCCCACCATGTTGAAGTTCAGCGTGGTTCAATGCTGCATTCGGTCTGCAGAAAGATGGATGTCATGTTCAGTGTCTAGTGTTCAGTGTTCAAGGCCAGCAAGCTCAGCCACGAACTTGCAGTCGTGGAATTGGATGTATTCAAGCATCGACGACTCGGACACCTCCGTTTGGGGGCCAAGTCACGGTACTACGGCATGGCGACAAGACATAGAAGAGCGTAGGGGGGACGCATCCATCATTTCGGAAATACCGACCCAGAGATTGGCGTTAAGCAAAAATGCAAATGTCTTGCACTGCCCCCTTTTTCCCGCCCTATAGGGCTCTTTCTTAAAAGAAGATGTGTTATTATGCCTCGCGGGGTATCCATACGGAGTACAGAAGACTCCAGAGTAGGGGTGAGGTTGTGTAAGGTAATAGGTTCTAGTCTGTACTCGCAGGGTATGGTAGACCAGCTTGCCTGTCGGCACGGGAGCTCTTCCGTAGTACGGAGTAGAATATAAAGCAACGCAGGGGAAACCTTTTGCTTTGGTCCTTTTACGGATACATAAAAAACCGACCTTATCCGTGCCTTTTTTTTTTCCATTTTTTTTTTTCCAAACTCTGGCCCGTACGGAGTACTGCGTAAGGTATCTGTACCTAGATCCCGGTTCCGGTTCTGCCCATATGCCGCGAGTCATAAGATACCGGGACATGGATTCTTGGTTTCCCTAATCTGTGAAGACTGTGATATATGCCACTTTTTAAGTAGGTATAATCAACCAGGCAAGTTTTCCCGCTGGGCAGAGTGGATAGCGTATCGATGATTGTGACGCGGGAAGATGGAGAGGGAAGGATATCCCCAACCGCCATCGGCTCACAATTAAAATCGGAAAAAAGAATTGAAAGCGCGGAATTGTAGCGAAGATGCGCGGCTGATATGCGCACTTGCTCGAGTCGTTGATTGTTACTGGTCAGTAGTCACTTTTTCTGTGTCGCAATTGAGTTTTTTCCCGGTAAAAGTTGACATTTGTGACGTCGTATTTCGTACCTTACTCTACTTACCCTGCGCTCTGTCTTCTTATTTTTACCCATGCTTGGCAGGCATTTCCATGAGAGAATGCGAAACCGAACCGGAGGGAATGCATTCATTGGCTATTATCGCGATTCGCATCCCTCCTCCCGAGCTTAGATTTCGGTTTTTGTAGAAGAAGGGAATTTCTTACCGAATGCTTTTCTCCCCTTGTCTCTCTGCCCAGGCCCCCAGGGAGTCGGGGTAAGGGAAGGGAAAGAGGAACCATGGTTGAGGCTTCGCCTATTATGAATTGTGAGATCATAGCAAACAGGACACCCATTGCTGGGTCTTGCTTGGTTCGATACCCGACCCGAACGTCATGGGGGATGATCATACGAATGGTACGGAGTACCCCCTAGGAAAACCAAAGATGCACGAGATACGGATACTGCGCACGCACATTTGAATATCCGCACGTACCTGGGGCAAAAGAAATCTCAAAGCTTAGAGCTCTCATCTCATACCTAGCTCACACCTTCCTCCCACCCCCTGGCCGAACGACTGGGGCGAGCATAGACGGATGAGGGGGGGTTTGTTACTTTGTATCGAGTTCGAGAATGGGTTTGCAATTGCGGGATACCGGAATTGTCTGATGCTGAGAACGGGGCTTGTGCGTGAAGAGTTTGCTGTTACTAATATTGGGACTGAGCCGAGTGTTCCGTTCATTTTCTTGAGACGAGGCTGTTCGCATAACTAAGTAATAGAGAGAAAGACAGAGAGTGTGTGTGGATGTAGGTGTTGGTGAGAAAATACAGAGTGGCATCGGCTGAAGATTTCTCTCACCTTGGCCACCCGATGGGTTTTGGGTTCCTCCTTGGCAATCTTTATTTTTGGAGGTGGTTGCATTCGCCAAGGGGTATGAACGGTGCAGCTGTTTCGGAGCATTTGCGTCGAGTAAAGTTGTGTCGTAGAATACCAGAATACCTTATATATAACCCCCTTGTTGATGGGACTGCTTGGCTTGTGACTTGATGATACTCTACGTGATACGGCCCGACGTTCGGGTTCGGTTTGCACAGTTGACCTTGCTGCACTATATCAGAAGTGCGGCTTGCCTTGCTGAGTCGACATTGACGAGCTGAGTGACGAAACCTGTGGCACAGGGGAATTTAACGCGTTCTTGAAAAAAGAAATCACTCATTTGATAAGGTAGTGAAAACTGTATCTTGTGCAATTGCTAGCGATGGCTTGGTCTTCTGTTGCTCAAAGGGAGAAAAGAAGAAAAACTCAATTTGTGTGATGAGAAAACCGGTTAGTACGGCGAAGCTTCCTATTCGTTTAATTTCCGGCAGATAGAATAGATGAGCTTCAAGAAGCTTGAAAATTCAAAGATCGTGCTATACTCAATATGAGTTGCGTGCAGACTATAATTCTTATCGCATCGTCGGAATATCTAGTGGTTTTTACACATTCCGAGCCGAGCCGCCTGCAATGTTGCCGAAAATGGGATTTAACAGTCCTGAGCTACACAACAAGTACTGAATCTGTAGACTCAGTAAGATCATGCCGAACCCAATACATCAGAAAATCGAAGCACACAAAGTCAAGTACGGAGGCTGAGGGTTGGGTGGCTCGCTTGCTGTTCTACTACGTACGCGGCCACTTCGGGGCGGAATCTCTCTCTGCCTCTACGGAGTACCGAACAGATCCCGTGCCGACCGTTACCTGCCAGCCGGGAGCGTCGTCTCCACTTTTGACAGGACCACGTGGGGCTAGCGATAGGGATCCGGCCGCTGCGGAGTACTCCTTGTGGGGCCAGCTCAGAGTGCCAGGGGGCCCTCCCCGGGCCGATCTAGGTAGTTTGTTGATTCGCGCAGGAAAGAGAAAAAAAATGACGCCGATCTTTCCACCAAACGCGCGACTCCCGCCGTACAGCACCGGGGCACCGAACACCGACGACAAGTCCTCGGCTCAGCCTCACCAACGTCATCTCACCTTTTTCGAGGTTCACAGAGGCTTTCCGTCTCAGCCTTCTTTGCTTGTACGATTGTTCCTATTTTGTGGAGTAATACTCTGCAAGATCGGCACAAACACTCATCTTGGGCTCTCTGGCTGAGATCTGTCTAGAGTTGAGAGTGCACCAGGCTCCCCACTCGTTTGCGATCCGTGGCATCCGGTATATACCAACACCCCGCATCACGAAGGCCCAAACTCCTGGGTTTGTCGCTCCCACACCACCTACCCGCACTATGGAATCCTTATTCAGCGCCTCTATCGAGCCAAAAACGGCGGCGATCGTAGCTACGACCGTCGTCGCAACGCTCTCCTTCCTGTCTCTTGCGCGACTCGGTCTCTACCCAAACTGGGGCACCGCAATTCCCAACCCTCTCAAGACCAAGATTCCCACGCTCGCAAGCGATGAGGTCAAGAAGCTTCCCTATCACCCAGACTACTTTCCCGGCGCCCGAGATGTGGACACGCCTGTAAGATACCACCCCTTCGCCCCAGCTCACCACCACCTCCTCAAGATGCGCGTCCCAGTACCTCACTAAGTGAAGGACTAACACACTCCCTCTCAGTACGGCTCCATCCGCGTCTACGAATGGGGCTCAACCACTGGGCCAAAAGTAGTCCTCATCCACGGCATTAGCACCTCCTGCATGACCCTCGGCCCCATCGCCCACGCCCTCGCCGCCCGCGGCTGCCGCGTCATGCTCTTCGACCTCTTTGGCCGCGGCTTCTCTGACGGCGTCGGCGACCTGCCCCACGACACCCGCCTGTACACCACCCAGGTCCTCCTCGCCCTCGCCTCCTCTCCGCTCGCTTGGTCCGGCACCGATGCCGTCCGCGTCGTGGGCTATTCCCTGGGCGGCGCCGTCGCCGCCTCCTTTGCGGCGTCGTTCCCGCACGTCGTGAAGAGCCTCGTTCTTCTCGCGCCCGCGGGTCTCATCCGCGCAGAGAACTTTGGCGTTCTGGCGCAGGTTACGTTCCAGTCTGGCCTTGTGCCTGAGCGCATCCTCGCTGCTGTTACGAGGAAGAGGTTGCAGAAGCCGTTGGCGAGTAAGCGGTCTAACGCTGTCGAGGAAGACGAGGACCCACTGGAGAAGGTTGTTGACGTCGCGGCCGCGGAGGTGTCTGGGCCCCACGGCGGCAGCGGGGATGATCAAAAGGTCGAACGGAAAGTGCGCGAGTACGTTCCCTGGATGGTTGCGCACCACGAGGGGTTCGTCAAGGCGTTCATGTCGTGTGTGCGGTGGGCGCCGCTTACGGGGCAGCACGAGACGTGGCGGGTTCTGGAGCAGAGAAAGAAGGGGACCACGGCGGTGTTTATCGGGAAGACGGACGAGGTTATTGATGTTGAACACTATGCCAAGGATGGATTGCCATTGCTGGGCGGCGACGAGAATGTGACGTGGAAGGTCCTTCCTGGGGGTCACGACTTTGTCATGACCAAAACGGAGTACATCATGCGGGAGTTGGATGTTTTCTGGGGCATGAAGGTGCAGTCGTGAAGATGAGGGATATGAATACGACGGCTAGGGGGCCATAGACGAAGATGGGTGCGGATAGATTATAAGACGCGTTGTTGATAGACTCCTAGAAACGATACCATTTGCTTGCTTCTATTTCTGGATAACACTGCGTATTGGCAGCATCATCTTCGACTTTTGACTTCCAATTCATGTTGAAGTGGTGGATGTGTGGAACCATGTATATACAGTATAAGGATAGCGTAGTACTTGCCTGCAGGTGTCTCCATCTATTCGCTGACTGGTAGCATGCCTGAAGTTCGTCAGATCCTACTATGAAGCTTATTGGTATGTCTCATCAGGGCATCCTGTAGAGAAACCAAACAGGCTTACCTGCAGCATTTAGGTCGATAAAAACATGCAATGAGACGTACACATGTTTAGAGATTGACTGGAATCTGCCGCGGGTATGCCTGTTCTGCCCATGTAGATATGCCATAGGACTTCTAACTCATAGTATGTCAGTTGACGAGTGTGGGGTCTGTACTGTTTCGATGATTGATGTAGAAATGTGTCGCGCTTGCGGGTACACCCTGAACATCACCCCCTCGCACGATATTAGGGGAGCAGTTCTCTGTCTACTCGATGCTTTCTTCCGAAATCTCGAGTTCGCATCGTTGCACTGTTGATACAAGTGGAGAATCTATTCGACTTGGGAAATTTCCATGAAGCCAGAATGTTCATCATTGAAGTTGTAAAATAGATAAGCCAAGTTAGTATAAGTCAATTGATAAGAAGAATTGACAAGAAATCTCAGTACAGGATTCGAACGCCTTGAACCAATCCTATACTTGCGAAAAATCCATTGTCTTTCATGCATGTTTAACCACCCAGCAACGTGGCCCCGGGAAGTGCCATTGACCCCTGAGGATTGCTCACTCCCTCAAACCAGTGACCTATATACCATCTAGCCTAGGGAAGATGCAAAGAAAATCAACAAAAAAGCTCGGCCGTTGGTTCGAACCCTATCCCTACGAAAAACCAGCGTCCCAGTTTATTCATCACCCGTTTAACCACCAGGCTACGTGGCCCCAGCAAGTTTGCACTGTACCGGGGAGACACTCCTTCCTTCGAATCTGTGTCCTATACACCCTCTAACCCATCCATCTCGTGGCCCTCAATGGGACCTACCAGCATTTCGCTTCGAGATGGGATATTGCTGCCTGCCTTACTCACCTTAGGTAGGCAGCCTCGGAGCTTCAATGCAACCTCAGATACTCCGACGCCCCTACTTTCCATGATCCGGTCACTAGCTGGCAGATTGATGTCCATTGCTTTCGATTATGGGCCCCGGGCTACGATACTTTGAAGCCGCTAAAGCCGCTAATCTCAAGGCCTTTGGATTATTGTATGGATGGCACTTAGTTTTGAGTAAGATAGAGTAAAGCTTCGACATCAGGAATGCCAGAAGTGTAGACTTCTGTCGATTAGCCAACGCCCAACGCCATGAGCTGGTATTGTCGATCGTTCGCTTCAAACAGCCATTCTCACACCACTGCTAGTACTTGATTACGAACATAACATGGACGTAAATATTGGGTTAGGAAAATAAGCCTTGTATCACTAGCTTTGCTTATCAACGGTTTCTGCAAGCAGGCGCATAAGCTCCACGAGGCCCGCGATATTGAAAGCACGCGCTCTTGTCTCAAAATTCTTCAAGCTCGAGTGACGGCATGGTCATGTCCGAAATATGAGATACGACGGCATTAAAAGTGTATCAAGTAGTATAAAGTATTGGGCTACTGAAGATGGAACGCAACGGTTGAATGTTGATGAAGTTGGGAAATTAGCTAAGCTGGGAGACCCCAGCCACGGTGGCGATCCCTGTTCGCCTGGAATGGCAACAATGGGTCGTTCCCCGCGCCACATATCAGAGCTGGCGCCAATCGCGCGATAAGACGGGGAAAATGGTCTAGGCCGCGATAAGCCTCCAACCGTGGACCTCCCTACCAGGTAGGGTGGCTCCAAGAGGTGCATGTGCTCATGCTCGTGTGCCTCGACTTGCCCCTCCAAATATTCCTGTTCTATCCATCACCTAGGAGGTTCCTGCATATTCTGCATAGTAATCGCCTCGCCGACGACAAGACCCGAGGCGCAAATGCACACGGCCGCCGTTGGTTAACTGAGTTCAAGTAACATTCGACCCCACCATCTCGGATATTGACTCTTGTTTCGTCATGCTGACTTATCACTGGCCAACAGCCTGACTGTCGTTTGTCCACGACTCGCTCGCGACATTGACTGATTGATGCGGAACCTATAACGACGAGCTTTATCTCGAGACAAAAGAACCACCAAAGCGACTGTACACACCGATAGAGTCGCCGGAGACGATGCAAACGATCTAAGATGGCGAGCCCAGATGGTGGAGCTGCTCCAGCTTCCCTCGACGATCATCACCGCCTGCTCGACGATGCAGGAGAATCGATATCGGGCAGCTCCCACATCGGGAGTGATGCTTCAGACGACTCTTCTGAACGGGGACAATGTCGCTGGCGGACGTCTCGCTACCACGATATGGAGTGCTCTCGCTTTTTCGACTGCCCTACTCATGTAGTCGAGAGGCACCTCTCTGACGACGAGGCCAACGACAGTGAGGCTGAGGAGGAGCCCGCAGTGCAGCATCAGACGGGCGACGATAGGGCCGAAAGTTCATCAAGCGCGAGGCTACATACTGGCGATTCTCCCGTGCCTGGAGAAACTCCAGAGCCGGTCGCAGCACCAAGCTTTGCGCCCGGGCCCGAGGAGACGAATACGGGGCGACCAAGAGAACCAGTAGATTCAGCACAGGCAACCTCAGCACGGGATACTGAAGGGCCTGATGAGTCTCAGGATCCCGAGGAAGCCGCACCGGCACCGCCAACCCCCTTAAGCTCTCGACTTTCAGAGACTTCTCAACCTCTCCCACCGACTGCAACGCCTGCAACGCCGACCGGAGAGTTTGTCCCACCGGAAAGATCATCGAGCTTGGTTACATCGCAAGCGGCAAACACATCGTCACACGACTTGCCTCTGCGCCCAGCTCTATTATCTAGTCGATCTCACGAGTCGCCGCCTCCGCCGCCACCCAGGCGAGCGAGTTCCTCGACTGCTATTCAGCCTCCTTTGCGCGGTCAACAAGGATCTGGAGAGAGAAGCGGTCCTCCCGAGTTTGTCGTCCCGCGTTGGCAACCAGATGCAGAGGTTGTTCTTTGTCCGATTTGCAACGTACAATTTAGCATATTCGTCAGGAAACATCATTGCAGGTATGTACAAGTTGAGGGGCTGTGTGACGTAGTTGCTAATAAATTCCAGGAAATGTGGAAGAGTCGTCTGTAACGCCTGTTCGCCTCACAGAATCACCATTCCTTACCAGTACATTGTTCAAGCGCCAGGACAACCGCGGCTGGCGGCCCAGAGATACCCGTCTTCCCTCATCAGCGGTGAGGGAGGATATGCAGATTTCAGCAGCCTTGGTGGAGGAGAGCGCGTTCGTCTATGCAACCCATGCGTCCCAGACCCAAACACCACACCGCCGCAGCAGCCACTTGGCTCGCCTTCCCAGCTGTCTCCACGAGGATCACATTATAGATCGCAAAGCAGCATCAGCACAATGTCCAGCAACGCCCCGGCTCCCTCGCGTTTTTCGGGCTACTTCACGTCGAGTCCCTCCCCGGAGACATATGCAAGGTCTAGAAGCATTACGGTAATAGTGAATCCAGGCCCACATGCCGTTAATTTACATGCTAACATATGCAGCACTCCGGCTCCGGCGGGCCCTCGAGCTCTCGCGGACATTACCAGTCCACTGGAAGTCGGATTATGGCAGGGACTCCGCCGACATACTACCCGTCTTCCTCGTCTGGCTATCCAGGCTCATCGCGCTATCGATCTATGCTGGATGTTGGTCCATCGTCGTCCTCATCGGCGCACTACAATCGCGCACTGCCGCCCCCGCCGCCCCAAATAGCCGAGGAAGACGAATGCCCGGTCTGCCATCGCGAACTGCCCTCTCGCACCCTGCCCAACTTTGAGCAGCTGCGAGAGACACACATTAACACCTGCATCACTTCACACAGCGCTTACGGCGGTACACCGACGGGAGAGACCCCTCCAATTGGAACGCCGCCTCCCTTGGCGGTTCGCCGGACTGGTATGTTCCCTTATGTTGCCACAGAAAAGGACTGTGTCGACTCGGCCGAGTGCACCATCTGTTTAGAGGAGTTCGAGGTGGGGGTTCCCATGGCGCGTCTGGAGTGCCTCTGCCGTTTCCATCGATCCTGTATCTCAGCTTGGTTCATCAACCATCCTGGACGGTGCCCAGTCCATCAGCATGATAGTTTTGGCTATTGATACCTCGTGCTGTCGGTTCACTACTTCCCCTCTCGCAGGCTCTGATCTCTCGGCGTTTCGGTTTGCATAGGGGCCGTTCAGTTTAACCAAGTCTTTCCTTTTACCGATGCTTGCTTTCTTTCGTTTTGTTTTCACGGCCAGAATCCCATCTCACTATTGTCCGCCGCAACAACGCTGTGGGAACAGATAACATGAGGTGATGCCGGGAAGCGGTCGTCATCGTCAGCGGATGTGAGTATTTAGAATGGTCGGGGCTGATTTGCTTTTGTTTTTGTGGACTGGATGGTCTCACGGCGCCTCGTTTATTTTTTTCAAATACATGTCAGCCAGTGTGCCAGGGTATAATACTTTTGCCAGTAAATACTTCTGAAGCGAAACGGAGGGGGAGAAGGGGAGGCGGCGTGTTGTTGCACAGAGTCACTCTCTCACTCCCCTCGATGGAGATATCAGCCACTCAGATTAGATAGATATGTTAGGTTTGCTTCTAACAATGAGATGCAATGCTCGCTTGTGGCGATTTGGCCCGCCCAGGCACATTCAATTCTTGACTTTCTCCTCACTCGCGTCGCCTACACTAGCCATTGAAAGGAAGCCTCTCTGCTGTCACCCGAGTGCTCACTCTGTCTTGGTTATTGGACCCAGTAGATGTGGCTGTTTGTATGTTCAGACCTAGATGGATGACGGAATGATTTGCTGTTTATTCCGAGTTTCTCTCGATGCCTCTACGACGACTCTATCGCGGCCTCGATTATTCCCGTAATTAGCACTATAGCTACTCTTCATACTTGTCGGAGTATACTGTCTATGTGATGTACTTGAAGTGTAGAATGTGTACATAGTTAGGACAGAGGTAACGTGGGTAGTGGTGAAGAGGAAAAGAGTGACAGGAGAAAGGGCTGTCATGTTGTTAGGTGGATTCGTTCTGTCGCCCACTTTGGCGCCTTCCATTGGAAAAGCCAGTACCTGACTGCGGTCGTTTCACTTTGATAGAGAGGAGGTTGTAGTTTTCGTGGGGATTTAAGGAGAGAAACATAGGCGTGTTTATGTGTTGTAAGACACACCTTCCCAAGGTTATGGCAACCCACTTGTGTCACTACCTACTACTGCCACAGGCCCGGCAGGCAAGCTGTACGGATAGGTACCGTACTCCAAGGGGAAGAAAGACGACGGACGCCATTTTGTCTCGGTAGAAGCGTGCTGGTGGACTCGTTCCGACGTGGGACGTTTCGACCGTTCTCCTAGTTGTAGCTCGACGTCAAATCGCGTTTTGAGCAGAGTGATCTTCGTCTGCCGGCCCCTCCCCTCCGTGCCCCCCTTCCGCCTCCTTCCCGTCAAAAGCCAAGCCATGGGAAGGCCACTGCGATATGTAGGTAACCTCGTGGCTCACGCCATTGATGTTCTGGGAAATTGGCGGGAACAGTCTAGAGGGAATTCGAATATTCTTCACCCAGTTGAGGATCTAGATTAGGATTCGTGCATCATAGTATTGATATGCGTAGATAGCTGGCCAAGATGCGGGAACATCCCACCTCTAGGACGAGGGGCTTCGAAAAAGGGGGGGAGGGGGAGGAGAGGATCTAGAACATGCCAGGGCAGCACGATCGAGGAAAAGGATCCCTGCTGCGAGTCCCCGGGGTTTTTGGGCATATCCATGCTCCATTAGGCTCCACCCTCGCCGATTGACCCGACCTTGCCGAGGAGGAGGAAGACAGGTAGTTAGTGCTGTGTGAGATATGCTACATCTTCAGAGCCCCTTCTTGGAAATGGAATAGAATCTGTCTTCGAGAGAATGAAAAATAAGAAGCCATCCGGGACAATGGTGACGGAGAGAGATAGGAAAGCCTGCAAGTTTGGGGACAAGCAAGGTCCAACCGGGTCTGTTAATGATGAATCAATTACACACGTCGCCGACCTGCATTCACCCACCGGAAATCAGATAATGAGCTTATTTCTTTTCCCCAATCTGTCGAGTAAAATCTTCTGCTCAGTCTCTGATTTCTCGTTTGCTTATTAAACTCGCCGACCTGCTGCCCAATTTTTTAACGCTCAAAAGTCCCGGGGCAGGGAAAAACAACTCAACTGCGTTCTTAATCTCTCGCGGCCAGGGGTGGTCGCTGCTTACGGGCATTTATATGCGCGCAGTAAGGATACGCCTCACGCGAGTTGGTATCTGTAGGAAGGCAGTGTAAAACTGTGTCAGAGACATAAAACCCTAGAAATGACAGAAATGACTCTGCGTCACTGGACAGTGCATGCCAAAAACCGGAATAATGAGATGAACCCGACCAACACTATCCGTAACAAAAAACCTACTGTGTAAGGGTATACAATGTTTCATGAAACTCAGCTGTCCGTAACCTACGACCCCACCCCTCCTTATACGTTCATCGGATTATTGTCAAGATGCGGGAAGGAAAAGGAAAGAAAAACGAGGGGCCGGGTAGGTTGTTTGGGGTAGATGGTGATTCGGGGAGGGAGGCTATATCATGAGCGGTATTGTGGCACGCCGTATGCTTGAAGTTGAGCATGTCTAACGTCAGTTCAAGCCCATTCTTGACACATTCTTGATAGAAGGGGAAACGGGGTGCAGCTTTCAGCCCTAGCCTGGTGTCACCGAGCCCCTCTGATCGTCCACATCCCTCGAAGGAAAGTCGACACTGTCGTGTAATCGGGGCTCTTGGCGTGAATTCGTTTCGTCTTGATGTGGTTTTCACAGCATTGTTTCGCGCGCAAGAACGCCGCCGGCTGGCTCTGGCCCTCGTGGTCCGGTCCCTCAGCGCGGGTTCCCACCCCCGCTGGATATCCTGGTTTCAACCCCCGTCAATTTTAGATGACGATGGAGCCACGCTCTCGCCACGGAGCAGCGCACATGCCTGCCCACGGCACCACGGCGCCGGGAGCATGGAGGAGTGGTCCCTCTTTTTGCGTTCTGGACTGCATTGTTTGGTCCGCACGTCCGCCCTGAGGAGCGAGGATGAACCCCCTATGAGGCAGGTTGGTAAGGTAGGACCGTAGGATGGACGGCGGCGGCGGCACAGTAAGAGGAAAACTCTCTCGCGCGCGTTGTTTTTTCCTTGTTGTTGGTGGCGCTTGTCCTTCTTCCGTCCCTCTGCAGGATCGAGTAAGATTAAATCAAAATAATAACGGTATTATGGTTGCCTGCCCTCCTGCTCCAGGTTCTCCCCTCAAAAGGATTGCCATATCCTGCCATGTACGCGTGAAGATTTTCCTTGACCCTTTCTCTCTCTATCCACGCTGGTCTGGATCTCTTGCTGCACCCCTTTGAGGCCCGTCATTCCTTCACTTGTTGATATTGCCGACTGCTGTTCTGTCATTATCCAAAGAAAAGACACCGAGCTTGTCTCTGTCCGAATCGAATCTGCATCCCATCAGTAGTTCCTCCTTGGCTAGGAACTCCACCGTAACATATCGTTATCACGTCCACCGTCTTCGACACAATGAAGCAATCCATTCTCTTGTTGGCCGCCTCGGCCGCTCACATGGCCTTCGCCAAGCCCGTCAAGTCCTGCTCAGCCAAGCCGCGTAGCACCACCGTCCTCACCTTCTACGTCACCCCGACCTACGGAGGCCCGACCATGACCCCCATCCCGACGGCGCCGGTCGTGCAACCTACTTCCGTCGAACCCCCCGTCGAGAGCTCCGTCGAAAGCTCCGTCCCCGTCGAGACTCCCGTTCAGATGCCATCGGTCATCGCAACAACCGCATCGGCCTCGGCTACCGTGGTGGAGCAGGCTGCCCCATCGTCGAGCAGCAGCAGTGCCAGCACCCCGGCCTCATCCTCGACGCCGATCGGCAGTGGTGGAACCAAGCAGGGCAAGTCGACCTTTTACGGCGGTAACACCTCTGGCGGCATGTGCTCCTTCTCGACCTACACCATCCCCTCCGGCCTTTACGGCACTGCATTTTCCGGCCAGGCTTGGGATTCGGCTGCTCACTGCGGTGCTTGCGTCAAAGTCACTGGACCCAACGGCAACAGCATCACAGCCATGGTTGTAGACCAGTGCCCCGAGTGCGACGAGGGCCACCTCGACCTCTTCCAGGATGCCTTCACGCAGCTCGGAACCGTCTCCGAGGGCATCATTTCGACTTCGTACGAGTTTGTTGAGTGCGGTATCACTTCGCCGATCAAGCTCCACAACAAGACTGGCACTTCTGCCAACTGGTTCTCCATGCAAGTGCTGAACCACAACGAGCCCGTGGCGAAGCTCGAAGTTAGCACGGATGGCGGAAGCACTTGGCAGGCCACCAACCGCCAGCCGTACAACTTCTTCGAGAACTCGAGCGGTTTCGGAACCGAGACCGTCGATGTTCGCGTTACGAGCGAGTCGGGAAAGACTATCACTGTCAACAGCGTCAGCGTCGCCGCCGACTCCGAAAAGGAGGCGCCATCTAACTTCTAAGTCGTGAGCAAAAGAGTCTCATGAGCTCGGACATTTGAAGTATGGCTGTCGTCTGAGGACGAGCGCGGTTCGGAGATTTTCGTTTCCCTGGGCTGGGCGTCTGTTGCTCTGGATTGTCGTCTGCGTATGGGCCTACTGTGGCACCGTGTGCTTTGCATGCTGCAGGGACAGAATGCATCGATCGTGACTCGCTTTGGGCGATAACCCTTCATTGTTTGGGCGAACTCTTCACTTCTCTTTTCTCTTCAATGCTCGCATCGGGCCTCTCTTTCTTTCATGTGACGACGACTTGGGGTTAGACAGCATGGTTTGGGACCGGAAAAAGGCTCGGGGCTAGCCCATGACTTCGCCCTGATATATTGGTTTTTTTGAGCAAGCTCAAAGCACCAAGTTGGTTTGCGTAGCATTTATGTGGACAGTGTAGCAATAGTTCTCTTCAGATGATCTCAATCATGCCGTCGACTAACGGCATCTTTCCTCATTGCAGGATCGGAAACTAAAGCCGTGCGAGTGAATGGGTCTGCGTGGTGTCTGGTAGAAAGAGGCCTTGGTTTGTGGGTGCATGTTACGTTTCGCGCATGTACGCGTGGATCAAAAAGTGCTGTTGTTAGTGTCCAACCTCAGGTGATGACCGTGAGGTGTAAGTCTTAGTCCAACGATGCCGGCATATTAGATTACCGGTAGAGATCGCCAGGAACGGAGCCTGTCTTGGAAGTAGCTGAGACCAATCAATAACGCTAGCAGAGCGGGTTAGCTCAATTGATACGGAGAACAGAACTCTTTTCCTCCTAGCCTCTGCTGTTCTGAATCTCTGACTCTCGCGTTGTCGGCAATCGTGGTCCGTACTCCATAGAGTTTCTAATCCACAAATGAGGAAATGAAGGATGCCCCAAAAGTAAAAACGCGTTCTTTCGAGACGAGGTTAGCGGGTGGTACCTGCCAAGACGGCGGCGATAAGTGTCTTAGTCTTAAATTCCCTAGGCAGGAACATGGCGCGATAAATGGACAGATGCTGCTGGTGCATGTTGCGACAAGCTCTGTGTTACTCAACGGCGAGGCTATACGCCGTGGCTAACTTGGTTGAGCTTGCGTAGCTCGCATTTGACTGGTTTCCAACTCCCTTTTCTTTGTAAGAATCGCTGGGAAATGAATTGTACCATGGCTTGTTTCGCATCGTTGTATCGGCAAAAGACACTGGCCATGGGGAGGTGAAATGAGCATTCGTCAGATCGTGGTAAGTAACTCCAAGTTGGTGACGGACCACTGAGTTTAGTGAATCCATAGGTGTGATTGTGGCCTGTCAGTCATGAGCCTGTCATCGGTTCGCCATGGTCCGATCGATGAAGGATTGCCGGCAAGGATCGGGTAGCTGGGATGGACCTGATTCGACCGTTGTTTGGCAGCTTGACCGTTGGTCAAGGTGCCCAATTTGACCGTTGGCGGAGCTCTGGTGTGCCAGGACCTCGGCCCCCATCCAGCCACGAACTTCCCTGGCAACCCTGACGACTGAGTGCGGAGGAGGGTGTCGAGACTGGAGGGGTATTCGTAAGGAATGTTGGAGTTTACGATTGATTCAAGGTGATTAAGCTCGAAATTTGGACGGGCGAAATAGGTAGCAAGTGGTCAACGGCACCGAGCCACTGAAGAACGGATGTACTAGCAGTGCGTCGACTGGTGACGATGACTTGCTTCTGTCGGTGTAGGCCAAGGAGCTTGTAGGGAGTCTGTTCGGACAGACTTGCTGAATTGCATGTCGCAGAGGTGCTGGACTTGAGACGACGCAGCGGATAACGCAACACCTTATAGACGACTGAGTTTATCAGCACACGATCCAGTAGAGAGGAATGTAAGCGCGGACGAATGGTGTCGCACCTTTCATCTTAAAACCGAAGTGTGTGAGGTGAGAGAGAAACAGGCATGTTGCGCACTCTGTCTCCGTAGGTATTCTGCACGAGTAGTGTGTGTATTCGTGGTGGAGGTGGACGAACTAGAGGAATGAATGGGCTTTCGGTCTCGGCGACCCTGACCAAGCTGGATGTTCGGCTCTTCCCCAAGCCTGCCCTGCCCTGCCCAGCGCCCTGCAGCTAGGTAAGGCAAACCACCCCCGCTTCCCTCTGGTGCTTCCATTCCAAGTGCAACCTTTCCGGGAAGGCACCTAACCTGGCACTTTCCCAGCTCGCGAGTCCCCAAGCAAGCTGAGAACCCCTGTCCTGAAGCTCCAGTAGCCAATCCCGCTGGTTTGGCTCGACAGGGATTGCTGCCCTGAGGTGCTGTAGGCGGCTCCCCCGCCCGACTTCAGCGACCAGTCACAGCCCAACCCAGTGTTTCCCCCAGCTGAAATCTGCTGAGGTAATGGCGAGCATTACGTCGTTATCCGCTCCTCTCTTTCTCCTGCGCCATGGACACCAGGAAGCTACCTTAGTTGACAGCTCGCAAAGTACCCCAAGAGAGGCCTCATTGCTATTGTTCTTCTGCTCGAGAATTCAACCAAAAGATACCTTTATCCAAAGACAAATAAAGGAGGGGTGGTTACTGGAAATCTTGGGTCTTAGCCAAGCACTCGAGGTACCTTTACGGTTTAGCATCGCACTTTGCCCGACGGTTAACTCCCCCACACCCCCTGCTCTGCTCGTCTCGCTTTTTTGGTGCCATGAACCGGTTGAAGCTGCAGTCGTAATCTTGTAATGTCCCAGTCGCACTTGCACTTGCACTCACTTTCTTGCATTAGGTCCTAGTTGGTCAAAAAAACTAAACTTGTACATGGCACTTGTACACTTTGCACCACCTTCCATTGACACGCCCACCCCATCGATCGGCCTGTTGTTCCGTCCGGGCAGTCTCTCCAAGTTCCAACTGTCCCCAAACGCACCAAGTACTTCGTACCGGCTACCCAATCCATGCCACGGCGTAGCCGCTAGCGAACCTGACGTATCTGTGCCAAACTCCCAATCCAACCTTCACCTTTCTGATTCTCCATCCACTTCATCACTGCCACATTTGCCTTGCCCTCCCTCCTCAACCTTAGCTTCGTGGCTTCCCGCCTTCTGTCTTTCTTCTACCGAATCTTGTTTCTACTTCGTGCCGCCCTCCACAATTTCTTCACTAAGCTACCTTAGTATCCCAACTACTGGCCGACCAGCCACAGTCCGGCCACTCTCCATTCACTCCCTCCTTTTTCCCCTGTCGCCGATCTACTTCTCTCTTCTCGTCTCTTTTTAGTCCGAGACCCTCCCTGAGACCCTCCTCGCGTCCCTTCTCCAATTCCGTTACTTGTTCACCTTCTCCCCTCCAAACTCCAATTCCAACGAGGCCACCCGGTCTACCTCGTCCATTGCAAAGGCTACAATTGCATGCGTCGATACAGCATCGCAAGCTGAGCGCCTTGCTAATTGACTCGGTCATCCCACACTAAGCTGCTCCGCGCGGCGCCCGAGAGCTTCACAAGATGGCTTCCGCACTCGAGAAGAACGAGCTCAAGGTTCAGGGTGTCGTCGAGGCTGCCCAGGATCCCGAATCGAACGTCTCTGCAGACGATGCTCAGAAGAAGATAGTCGAGGAGTCCAAGAAGGCTGGCATCACCGCCTTCACCTTCGACCCGGATGCGAGCCCTGAAGAGAAGCGCCGCCAAGCTGCAGCTGTGAGTTGCGCGACCAAGGACCCCACTTCACCATTGAATTGACCCGGACTGACACGTCTCTTGCTTGCTAGGCTGTTCCCGCAGGCTTCCATTCCCAGCGAACCAAGGGTATTTCAGTCGTAACCGATGTAGCTGATTCGAGCGCTCCCGTCACCGATCTTCCACCCCCGACCAAAGAAGGCGTCATCGAGTTGCCCAAGGACAAGGACGGGAACACGATCAAGACCAACGATCCCCAAAGCCAGGACGAAGAACCGTACACGAGAACTGGTTGGGCCCCGAGGTTCGGCTGGCCCGCTGACGACCTCCATGATGCGGCAAGTCTCCTAGATCACTCGACCTGGCTCGAAAGCAATATCCCGGATAAATTCTACGGAGACTGGTACCATAATGCCGCCATCATTGCCTTTGCCTGTATCTCCTCATGGCTCGTTGCTGTTTTGGGCGGAGGCCTTGGCTGGGTCTTCATTCTCATGGCTGTGTGCTCAACTTACTACCGGACTTCTATTCGCCGAGTCAGGCGCAACTTTCGCGACGACATCAACAGAGAACTTTCGCTGAAGAAACTTGAGACTGAAACCGAATCGCTCGAGTGGATCAATTCCTTCATGCTCAAGTTCTGGCCTATCTATCAACCCGTTCTGGCACAGACCATCATCAACTCTGTTGATCAGGTTCTCAGTGGTGCTACTCCCGCCTTCCTCGATAGCTTGAAGCTCAAGACGTTCACTCTCGGCTCGAAGCCCCCACGGATGGAGCACGTAAAGACGTACCCCAAAGCTGGAGATGACACTGTCATCATGGATTGGAAATTTAGCTTCACCCCGAACGACACGGCGGATATGACCTCCAAGCAAATCAAGAACAAGATCAATCCCAAGGTTGTTCTTGAGATTCGAGTCGGAAAGGCCATGATCAGCAAGGGTCTTGATGTGATCGTTGAGGACATGTCCTTTTCTGGCATCATGCAACTCAAGATCAAGCTACAGATCCCTTTCCCTCACATTGAAAAGGTGGAGATGTGCTTCTTGGAAAAGCCCACGATTGATTACGTTTGCAAACCTCTCGGTGGTGAGACTTTCGGATTCGATATCAACTTCATTCCTGGACTCGAGTCTTTCATCCTCGAGCAAATCCACGGCAATCTTGCTCCCATGATGTACTCCCCCAACGTGTTCCCCATTGAAGTCGCCAAGATGCTGGCCGGAACCCCAGTTGACCAGGCTATTGGCGTGGTTGCTGTTACTCTCCATGGCGCTCAGGGCCTCAAGAACCCTGACAACTTCTCTGGTTCGCCCGATCCGTATGCCGCCTTGACCTTGAATCGCCGCCAGCAGCTTGCCCGCACAAAGCACGTCAAGGACACTGGAAGCCCGCGCTGGAACGAGACTCACTACATTATCATCACCTCTTTCAACGACTCTTTGGATATCCAGGTATTCGATTACAATGACTTCAGGAAACACAAGGAGCTGGGCGTGGCATCATTTGCCCTTGATCAGGTTGAGGAACTGGCTGTTCACGAGAACGAAGTCCTGGAAGTCATTGCAGACGGCAAGGCTCGAGGTCAGCTTTCCTGCGATATTAGATTCTTCCCAGTCATGGAGCCCAAGAAGTTGGAAGACGGCAGCTTGGAGCCCCCGCCAGACTCCAACACGGGCATTCTTAGATTCACAGTGGAGCAGGCCAAGGACTTGGATGGCACCAAGAGTCTTGTCGGCCTTCTCAACCCCTACGCCACTCTGCATCTCAACGGCCGAGACGTCCACTCTACAAAGAAGCTAAAGAGGACTAACAACCCGATCTGGGACAATGGCTCGAAGGAGATGTTGATTACTGATAAGAAGAACGCTAAACTTGGAGTCACGATCAAAGACGACCGCGATCTCACGGGCGACCAGGTCATCGGCAAGTACCAGATCAAGCTTGAGGATATGCTGGAGTGCATGGGCAAGAGCCAGGAGTGGTTCCACCTCTCTGGCGTCGCGACCGGTCGCGTGAAGATGATGGCCCAATGGAAGCCGGTTGCTCTGTCTGGCGTGGTTGGTGGAACAGGAGGCTACGTCACCCCGGTTGGTGTTATGCGTTTCCACTTCAAGAACGCAAAGGACCTTCGCAACTTCGAGACTCTCGGCAAATCCGACCCCTATGTGCGTGTTCTTCTCTCCGGCATTGAGAAAGCTCGCACGGTTACCCATAAGAACACTCTTGATCCCGACTTTGATGAGGTCCTCTACGTTCCAGTACACTCGGCTCGCGAGCGCCTCACGCTCGAAGTCATGGACTCTGAGAAGATGGGCAAGGACCGCAGTCTTGGTTTGATTGAAGTATTCGCCGGCGACTACATCTCGCAAGCTGAGAACGGCGAGTACAACGTGCACGATCAGAAGAAAACCTTCCAAGGAGGCCTGCAGCTTCATGGCAAGGGCATCGCAAAGGGTGTTCTGACCTACACGGTATCCTTCTTCCCTTGTCTCAATGTTGCCGACCCTGAAGACGAGGAGGAAGAGGCGGAGGCGGCTGCGGCCGCGAAGGCGATTGAGGATGCCCCGCGATCGTCAGAGGCTGGTAAATTCAGCAGCTCCATGGAGAAGAAGACCGAGGAGAAGAAGGATGGAACCGAATTGGAAATCAGCCCGCCAAAGACACCAGTCACTCCCGTCTCACCAACTATGCCCAGGAAATCCAAGGATGAGAGCGGCCCGCCTAAGATCCGGCTGTCTCCTCAGGAGCTCCTCAAGTACGAGTCTGGTCTCTTGATCTTCAAGCTCATGGAAGCGGAGATGCCTGAGCACAACACGCACCTGGAAGTCTGGGTCGACGACATGGCATTCCCCTCATATACCTCGTCTGCCGCCAAGCACAAGAAGCACGCATTTGATGAAATTGGCGATTGTTTCATCCGAGAGCTCGACTTCTCTCGTCTTACACTCAAGGTCCGTGAGAAGGGCGACAAGGTCGAGGGCAGCGACAAGGACAAGGACCACACCATCGCCAAGCTGCAGGGAAACACTTTGGACACGCTGAAGCAGTGCCTGGTGAGTTTCTTCATCTCCTAGAAACGTGACAAATTACTAATTAGCCCTAGAACAACCCCACGACTCTCAAGTTGAAAGACAAGGAAAACCGGCCCAGCAGTGTCAAGGTCAGCCTCAAGTATATTCCCGTCAAGATGCAGCTGGATCCGAGCGAAAGTATCAACAACATGGGTACCCTCCGCGTCGATGTTTTGGACGCCCAAGACCTCCCGTCAGCCGACTCAAATGGCAAGAGCGACCCTTACTGCAAGTTTGAGCTCAATGGCGAGGATGTGTACAAGACCAAGGTTCAGAAGAAGACGCTGCACCCTGCCTGGAACGAATTCTTTGAAGTTCCCGTCCCATCGAGAACGGCTGCCAAGTTCAAGGTCACTGTGTGGGACTACGATTTCGCCGACAAGCCCGACTTCCTTGGAGCTGCCGACATCAACCTTGAGCAGTTGGATCCCTTTAGACCTAGCGAGAGTCGACTGATTCTGGATGGAAAGTCGGGCACAGTCAGATTGAGGATGCTTTTCCGGCCCTCGTATGTCACTCGAACTCGCCAAGGCACCTCCACCTTTTCTGGAACATTCGCGGCGCCTGGAAGAATCGTCACGGGCATTGCTGGCGCACCCATCAAAGTTGGCAGCACCGTTGGTCACGGCGTGGGCAAAGGTGCTTCTTTCCTCAAGCGCGGCTTGTTTTCCAGAAAGGAGGATGACGCAGATGGTGCGTCGTCTAGTTTCAACGACATCCCGACCATTGTCGAGAATGGAGGCAGCCCTCCTGGGCCGACACCTGGCCTCGGACTCAAGCGGGCAACAGGGTTCTCCACATCGGATGGGAGTGAATCCCCTGATACGCGACCGGGCACCTCCAATGGCTCTACACTGGGTGGTCACGCGCGTAAACAGAGCAACGGAGCCGCCTCTGTTCACAGCTTGAACCCAGGTTCTCCCGGCTCAGGAAGCGCCTCTTTCACCGTCGTGTCTGCAACGGGATTCCCTCCCTCAACCGACCTGTACATCATCATCAACCAGTTGACGCCCAAGCCCAAGGCAATCGGCAAGACCAAGCACCATAAGGACGCCACCGGTTTCTTCCGATTCAACGAGACTTTCAAGACCACATGCACACCCGATACCCAATTCAAGATCGAGGCCAAGGGCGAGCACACCCTCAGAAGCGATGACGACCTGGGCGAAGCCCTGTACTTTGTGGATGAAACTGGAACTGGGGCCGAGAAGGAGATCAAGGTTGGAAGCGGAACGGTCATCATGAAGAGTACCTTCGTCGCGTCAGCCAGCACCTTGGACCCTGATAGCCCCAAGTCGATCGTTCGCCGCAGCTTCATGAGCAAGCGTGAGAGTCGCAGCAGAGAGGGAACACCGAGCTAATTGATTTGGTTCCAGCTCTTGTGTCGAACCTCGTTTCTGGACTGTAACTGTTTTCTTCATACGTCCTTTTCCTTTGATAACAAAAAGCTTTTTGACCTCTTTCAGATACCTTGGATGTTGCCCATCAAGCTGGCGATACCATCCACTAATGAGTCTTTTTCATTATAATCTTCTCATTTATTTTGTACTGGAGGGCGTAGGCGGAGGTTTCAGGGAGGCGGTCGGGTAGGGCGTGGACTTGTGGTAGAGAGAGCAGGGCAAATAGGTCCATAGCTTCTTGTAGTGAAGATGCAATTCCAGCTATCCAATGTCACTGAGCCAGCTCCATAAGCCCTTATGCTGCATCAACCTCAAAAAACTTGCACCTTGTCTTGATTCAGATCAACTATCAGAGATCATTTGGTCCATTATTTTTCGCCTTGTCTAGGGGTAGGTACCCCCAACCAGCCAACCTACCTGAGAGCTTTCTCCAGGGACTTGGATACCCGGCTGGGCAGCGGGACGGCGAAAAGAGCCACCGTAGCCGAGAAATTTTCAGTGGACCCCGAACGAATTGTGGCAGGCGCGCGCATCCTTGGTTCACTACTTGCTTGCACGTCCCGTTGTAAGCTCTACCAAATCCTAGATACCAAGTACATTGATTTCGTTCACTAAGCAGGCACCCATTGGAGCTCAACCCACCTCTCCCCTAGCTTCAGAAGCCTCGACCGACTCTCTGGAATCACTCTCTAGACGCTACTTTGCAACAACCCTGACTTTCTCGGGCTGAAAGCCCGCCCGCTGCCCAAGATGATGCACCCTTCGCGACAAGCCTACGTCGAGGAGGCGATGGACGAGGACAGAGGCATTGCGCTGGAGGACGTCCCCGTCGATCACGACTACGAAATCCCTTCCGCATTCGCCGGTGCCGCGCCCGAGAAGACGTCAGCCGTCCTGGCGCAGATGGAGAGGAAGAAGCTGGCGGCGAGCATCGCGGTGCCAACGGACGACAACCGGGTGCGCACGAGACTCAGAGAGATGGGCGAACCGGTCACGCTCTTTGGCGAGGGAAAGCCCGAACGCAGAGATCGCCTCCGGAACCTCCTGGTCACCCAACTACTGGCTAACCAGCAGGAGATGGATGGCATCGAGAACGGCGACATCACAATGGAGGACGCCGAAGACGAGGACGAGGACGAGCAGGACGAGGAGTTTTACACACCCGGCGGCCAGGCCCTACTGCAGGCGCGCATCGATATTGCAAAGTATTCCCTGCCGAGGGCGCGACGGCGGGTACAATTTCAAAAGGCCGAGTCTACGATCCCGTTGCGTACGCACGTCAAATTCCGAAAACAGATCAAGGAGAAACTGGATGGTTTTGAGCTCCAGGGCAGTCAGACGGCCGGCGAGAGACACGTTAGCATGACGAGATTATCGCCAAACGGAGAGCTCGTTGCCGTGGGGAACTGGGGCGGAGCGCTCAAGCTCATTGAGATCCCAAGCATGGAGGCCAAGATGAACCTCCGAGGACACACACAAAAGATTAGCGGTATCTCATGGTACCCGGGGTCCACGCTACCCGAGGCCAACGTATCACCTGACACGGTGAACCTTGCTTCCGGCGGAGCTGAGGGCTTGGTCCACCTGTGGTCTCTGAACAAAGATACCCCCCTTTCGACCCTGACGGGCCACGGCGGCAGGGTATCCCGCGTCGAGTTCCACCCTTCCGGCCGGTATCTGGCATCGGCCTCAGACGACACGACGTGGAGGCTCTGGGACGTGGAAACGACAGCAGAGCTGCTGCTACAAGAGGGCCACTCCAGGGGCGTCTACGCCGTCAGCTTCAACGCCGACGGCTCCCTCCTGGCCAGCGCGGGCCTGGACAGCATCGGCCGCATCTGGGATCTGCGGTCCGGCAGGACGGTCATGATCCTTGACGAGCACATCCAGCCCATCTACGCGCTCGACTGGGGTTCCGACGGTCACAGGGTGCTTTCGGGATCGGCCGACGGCTGGGTCAAGTGCTGGGATGTGCGCAAGGTGCAGCGGACGGCGAACCTCGGCGCGCACGCCAAGGCCGTCTCGGACTTGCGATGGTTCCGGGGCCTTGACGACCCGATTGACGGCTACCCGCCCGGCGCCGACGAGAAGGGCGCGCAGCAGCCCAAGAAAGCGGGGACCTTTTTCGTCTCCGGTGGGTTCGACGCAAAGATTAAAGTCTTCTCGGCCGACAACTGGGGGTTGGTGCAGACGCTCAGTGGACACTCTGGGCCGGTTGCCAGTGTTGATGTGAGTAGGGACGGCAAGTGGATTGTTAGTGGTGGCCACGACCGGACGGTCAAGCTCTGGGGCCGGAATGATGGCGAGGGAGTTTAAGGAAGATGTTATTGGGTGTTAGAGATGGAGGGAGACCCCGACTCCTGTAGAACAATAAGATACCCCCTTCCAAGTTCAGTCAACTCGCGAAGCCCTTCATTGTCACGGCAGCCGGGTCAACACCGAACCATATTTTGAAGCATCACCGCAAAGGACATGACAGAATATCTATAACCTCGCCTTGGGTAACCCACCAACCCCATCAGACGCCCCCCGAACTCTCCCAAGAACCTCATCCATCACATCCCCCAACGCCCTCATCGCCGCCTCCCCAACCTGGTGATGCAAAACGACCCTCTTCCCATCCAACTTGATCCCCCTCCGCCTCCCAGCCTCATTCCACCGCTCCAAACCCACCCCGCAACCCCGGAGATCCAACCAGACCATATTCGTCTCGACAGGCTTCAACAACCTCCCGCCCCGGGAAACCCACATCCTCCCAACCTCAGCCGCCATCGCCCGACTTCTCCCCAACACGCCCCTCACATCCCGGGTACCCGGGCCGAAATTCTCGAGAACAGCCTGCCGCGCCGCGGCGGCGAGGACGCCGGCCTGTCTCATCCCGCCGCCTATACTCTTGCGTATCCTCAGCAGGCGCTTGATCAGCTCCGACGAGCCGAGGACCATGGCGCCCATCGGCGCGGCGAGATTCTTGCTGAAGTCCAGCGTCAGGACATCGCAGCACCGGCCGAATTCTTCTAGGGTGCCCGCGCCCGCGGATACGGCTTCCCAGAGCCGCGCGCCGTCCATGTGTACCGCGATACCCCTGTCCCTAGTCCACTCTCTGATCCTCTGCAGCTCCGCGAGCGGCACGACGACACCGGAGGACGTGTTCTCTATGCTCACCGCCCGTGTGGGGCATTTATGTACATCATCCGTCACAACGGCATGTTTCTCGATGTCTTCGAGGGTTAAGTACAGCCCGTTGCGGGGGCGGATCCCTTGCACCATGGCGCCCGAGAGGTGTGCTACGCCGCCGGCTTCCCAGTGGATTATGTGCGCCGAGGCGTCGGCGAGGATGGCGTGGGGCGGTTGGGTTAGGAGGGTGCGGAGGGCGAGCTGGTTTGCCATTGTGCCGGTGAGGACGAAGGCTGCAGCGGCGTGGCCGCAGGTTTTCGCGAGGGAGGTTTCGAAGGCGGTGGTTGTGGTGTCTTCTGCGTAGACGTCGTCGGAGAGGGTCGTTTGGGTTATTGCGGTGAGCATTGTGAGGGAGGGTGTTGTTATTACGTCGCCTAAGGGGATGTCAGTGGTCTCTCTCTCTCTCGCGCGCGCGCGCGCTCGTTGGATGAGTATTCGGCTGATTGGGAAGAGAATGGAGACGAGGATGGGGGTTTTGCATGGGCTGGCGTAGAAAGGAGGAATGAGAGGGAAAAGGGGTTCGACTCACTCCTGAAGTCGAACGCGGCGCCGGTTTCTTGGGGCGAACCCCAGAGGATAGGGATATTCTCGTCGTCGGGCATCATAGCGAGGTATCTCGCGGTGTTTTAGCTGTCAAAGGACAGTGTATAAATTGCTAGTTGCTGGAGTTCCTGTATGAAATCTACCAAGCTCGGAGCAAAGCAGTATTGGGACCAGGAGCCAGGCTACACGGCAGTTTGCCGGTTGCATGCACATGTCCAGGTTTTTTGGAGGGACTACATTTTAATAACGATGCCGTTCAAAGTCTAGACGATTCTATCTCAGCTGGATGGAAGATGTTGTCACGAGACACCTACGTCTAGGTCTCATATCGCCTTACATTGTGAGCCGAGGAAAGGAACACCACCACCCCCCATCCGAACTGATTGTGGCGTTTCTAGAAGGATTCGGATTGAGGCTGTCGAGCACACATTCCTCTGTCAGCCGCGCGCGCGGGAGAGGAATCCAGACGAGAAAGGGCATGGTGTATGTATGTATGTAAGTGAGAGATGTCATGCAGTCAGCTCAGGGCCCATCGCACTCACGTCGCCCCAGGCCTGTCAAATCAGCGATATAACAATCCTCAAGAGGAAACGAGAGAAGGCTAGTGAACAAACTAGGTCAGCCCGACACGTCGATTCTAGAAGGTATGCTCGATATGCCTCGGGCTCGGCTCCAGCCCCAGGTAGATCATCGAAGTCCACTGCCGTGATAGCTACCTACGATTGGACCGTTGACGCGACGTCGGCTTCCAAGTGCTTACGGCAGATGTAACCCGTCTAGGATCTCACATGCAGCAAATAGTTTGCTTCCCCTTTTGATCCTTTATTCACTATGGCTTTCTTTTCTGTGATTTGTAGCGGCACTCACGATTTCCAAAGGAGCTTCTTGAATTCTCTGGGAGAACTTGGAGGCTGAGCCGTTTCCTCGTCTGTTTTCGCCTCAATCGAGTTAGCTGGGCATTTGTTGGCATTGCAGGATCCCCCATTGAACATGTTTGTGACTAAGAATATTAGAGAAGGAGGAGGATGTGTTCTCTTGGCTTAACGTGTGTCTCTGTCGAACAGAAGAGAATGGTGCCTTGTCGTCGATCAGCGGTGTGGGATATAAGCCGGTAGCCGAAAGCATAACGCAGACCCAAGAGAAAAGGGGAGAGAGACAGACGATGGTACTCTACTGGTGTCTGGTCCACGATTCTCCTCTTCAACCATATTCCTTTTTCCCAGTCCTTTCCTAATACTCACCTACCTAGACTATGCTCATCTGTCATTTCTAACGTTCATCCCCTCGTCCCCTTTTCCCCTCCCACCTTACAACGTACCTCTCCAACCATGGTCCTAGAGAGCCATGACGCCCAGGAGCCGACGGGGTCCGCCGATGTCAAAGCTCTTGCCGCCGCCACCGTCTCCTCCTGCGCCGTCGTCGAGGACGCAGGGACGGGTACTTATACGGATGAGAATGCCGTCCTGGCACGGTACGGACTCGAGAGGCGCGCCGACGGCTTCGTCAACTGGCAGCGGGACTGTGTTACGCACCCTCGGAACTGGACTACCAGGCGGAAGGCATTTGATACCACGGTCATCATTCTGTTTGAGCTGTACACGTGAGAGAGCCTTTTGCTTCTTCTTTGTATCTGTTTTCCGTAGCTGACAGGTTGAAAAGTACAATTATAAGTACAACT